CTCAAATGAAAGGTCTTGATGAGTGTAACATCAGGATGAGCTTATATCTTTAAAAATGTCAATAGTTCACAAGATACAAGGTCGTTTCTTACTTATGTTAAATTGCACTGTACTTTCTTAACTATTGATATTTTTAAAGATATAAGCTCATCCCGATGATACACTCGTCAAGAGCTTTCATTTGAGTACCCACATGCATGTTCATAAATTTTTCATATATACATATATATTAGGGTGGCGCAAAAAAACCGACTATTTTTTTTTTTTCGAGTCTCGAGTGAAAAAATGTTAGTTTTTGATGTTTTAAGAGCCCTCACCAAAGGACAGCTCAAAAAAAAATTTTTAAGAGGTCACTCCAAATTTTTCAAAATTTCCAAAATCGTCAAAAATCAAAAATTTTTGTCCTTTGGTGAGGGCTCTTAAAACATCAAAAACTAACAATTTTTCACTCGAGACTAAAAAAAAAAAAATAGTCGGTTTTTTTGCGCCACCCTAATATATATAATATTTATAAATATATGAAAAAATGATGTGGGTACTTAAATGAAAGGTCGTGATGAGTGTAACATCAGGATGAGCTTATATCTTCAAAAATATCAATAGTTCACAAGATACAAGGTCATTTCTTAATTATGTATCTAGAGATACAGCATTTTCAAATGCAACCTAAATACTTATCATCATAAATTACCTATTTTGCTTATTCTCTTAATAATATAGATTAAGAAGCCAAAATTTAAATTTATTAAAATAATTCTAGAAAATCATTTCAACTTTACTTAAAAATATTGAAAAAAATTTATTTGTCATTAAAACTGATGAAAACATGATCGAGATGGTTCTGAAGAAATCAATTATCAAATGGGCTTGTTTGTTTGGTTCAAATTTATGTAAAAATTATACTCTCTCAATTATATCGAAGTGGCTAGAAAATTCTGAAGAAAATTCGTAAGTATAAAATTTTTTTCACTATTTTTTATTTTTAATTAAAAATTTTTTAACAATTAGGCTTCCAGTGGATCTTAAATTAGAAATACTATGTGGAGGAATGCGTTATGTTGATGAAAATACGTGGAATGCTGTACTGATGAAATATCTAGAGAATCGAGATAAAGATATTTTACAAGCACTCTGTTGCACATCAAACACTACATTTTTAAATAAAATTTTGTTTTTAGCGATTAACAATACCTTTAGTGAATTAGACATGTGGGATTTTTTTTTGGCAATCACATCGGAAAGTAGTGGTCTGGAAACTACATTGAATTTTATAAATGATTATCGAACTAAAATTGAGAAGAGGTGAGTTAATAATAGTCATTATATTTTCAATTCCATGATTTTATTTATTACTAATAATTTTTAAATAATAAATTATTCAGCGATAGTCGTTATGAGTTTTTACATGATGGTATAATATTTATCAGATATAATGTTAAAAACAGCAACCAATTTTCTAAGGTGAGTAATTAATTTTTAAATTATACAAATTTATATTAATTATTTTTTCTTTTTATGACAGTGGGGAGAACTATTGAAAAATGTTATCGGAGAAAAAGAAGCAACGAATTATTTAGTAGAAATTCGCAGTGAAGTAGATGATTATAATTTAAAATTAAATTCAATGAAAAATTATTTTGAAAGAAGGATTTATTAAAAAATACATTATAAATTTTTTTTATGGCATTAAATTTTATTTTATTAAATACAATCTAAGTGTTTATTAAAAAAATTTTTTACAGTTGTCATTCTCTCAGATTATTATCATCTCATGATATCTTCTTAAATTTAATTTGAATATTGACATTTTGATGAAATTTTATAATAATTTACAGATTAAAATTTTTGTATTTTACTTCAAAAATTGTAAAATACGATTGAAAAAATATACAAAATTATATTTTAAAATACTTAATTAATTAAATACTTATACTTAATTTTAATTTAAGTTATGAGATATGATATAATAAATTAAGTCATTACAAAACATAGCGGATTTTTTGTCATTTAAAAAATAAATAACACTTGCAAAAATATTTAAAATGAGCAATTAATCCATCAGTATTGATAAAAAAAAACTAGTAATGAATATTAGGGTGTGTCAATGTAAAATGTAACTTCCTTGATGGACCTTTTAAAATTGAAATTTTGAGTTCCGCTATTAACAGCTGTGTTTGGGCATTTCCTGACATATTTTGAGCGTCAAGGATTTATTTGATTTTTATAGAATTTTTTAACTGGAATTTTATTTAGGCATTTCTGCTGAAATTTCAAAATTTGGCCAAACAAAATTCCTGTTAAAAAATTTTATGAAAATCAAATAAATCCTTAACGCTCAAAATATGTCAGGAAATGCTTAAAAAAAAAAACAAAGTTTATTTCTAATGTATATGTAATTCAAATTTGTGATAAATACAACATATACAAATTAATAGCAAATATCAAATTTTTTTTTCAACTACTGTTAAAAGCGGAACTCAAAATTTCAATATTAAGAGATTCATCAAAAAAGTTACATTTTGGCACATGAAAATTAAATTAGCCGACATCTACGAATTTTAATAATTTTTTTTTATTGAAAAAATTATTTTAAAAAAATCAAAAAAAAAAATTTCACTTGTTAAAAACTTCAAAAACTGTAAGTGCAATTTTTTAAAAATATTTTTTTGTTCTAATTTAATTATTAAAAATAAAATCAAAAAATTAAAAATGTCGGCTAACTTTAGTAATGAAAATTAAGTTAGCCGACATTTAAAAATAAAAAAAATTTTTTTTATTGAAAAAATCACTACAAAAAATAAGAAAAAAAAATTTCACTTGTTAAAAACTTCAAAAACTGTAAGTGCAATTTTTTAAAAATTTTTTTTTTGTTCTAATTTACTTATTAAAAAAAAATGAAAAAATTAAAAACGTCGGCTAACTTAAGTATTATCATACTTTAGTATCATTTTAGCACACCCTAATGAATATTGAGAAAATTCTTAGCTGACATAGTCTTCATAGCTGATGATTTCCGATAAAAATAACTCTCTTTAATCGCCACATCAAAAAATCAGAATAATTTTTAAACATCTTATCCAAATCCGACTTGGAAACATCAATATAAGTTCTCGCATTATTTTCCATATCCACAGCTAATTCTCTACCGGACTTAGTTATGACATCATAAAAAGGAAAATTGGCATTCTTGACATAAGTAGTTTTCATCCATTCAACTTCATGTAGACACTCTTTATAAAAATAATCAAGTTCTTCACTTTCTATAGCTTTCAAATTACTTTCAATAATTTCAAATCCTGCAGCTTTCATCTTTACAATATGCCTTTTGATAATATTTTCAATTGATGGTGAACCAGCTGCAAAATCAAGCGGCGTTTGTTTGTTGATATTAATGCGATTAACATTAGCGTTATAATTTAACAGCGCTTCTACAATAGTTGGATTTTTATTGTAGATTGCAACTTCAAGAGGAGTTAAATCGGCAGCATCTGTAAATGTTTTAACACACATATCATTAAGATCAACGCCGTTATGAAGAAGTGTTTGAACAATCGAATGATCGAAAGTAGTAGCCGTCAAAGCATTGTAAATGGGTGTACAATTATTTTTAGATCCTATTTTATTGACGTTGGCACCAGCTTTAATTAATTTTTTTATTATAGATTTACGTTTTTGAGCGACTGCCACGTGAAGAGCAGTACCCCAATGAAAAGTTACTGTATTAACATTAGCCTTCATGCTAAGTAATTTACATACGAATTCTTGATGTCCCAAATAAACTGCCATTTGTAAAACTGTTGGATCTCCATGTGTCATATATTTTAATCTTATATTTGGGTTTGTAATAGAAGAAGAGTTATTTCTCAATGATGCATATTCTTTTTTAACTTCCATCAGAGATCGGCTTTCAGGAGTTTCCATTTATTTTTTTCAATTTATTTCTTGAAAAAAAATTTTATCTTAAGTTTAAATTAATTTATTTCACCCAATAAATTTATCACTAATAATTTTCTCACACAATACACTTATAAAAATATAATAAATGGTGTTGAAGCCAGAGTCGTGGTCTTCACCTTCACGTGCTTGAAGAAAATTCGAGAGACACTTGAAAATTATGTTCTGTAATACTAGGTGTTAAGTTAATGAGCTGAAATATGTTAACGAGGGAAAATTGTAGTAAGTAGTATATTATACATAGACATAAAAAAAATATTATCCCTTGTCATACATTCTATAGTCATTAACTGTAGAAGTTATTGTCCAACTCTGGACTTAAGATTTATACTGAAGTTAGCAGACGTCTAAAAATTTTTGATTTTTTTTTATAAATTAAATTACAACTAAAAAGATATTTATAAAAAATTGCACTTATAGTTTTTCAAGTTTTTAACATGTGATAGTTTTTTTTTTTTAAATTGTTTTATTGATATTTTTTCGATAAAAAATTTTCAAAAATTTTGAAATGTCAGATAACTTCATTTTCAAAAATAAATAGTATATGAGGCGTTAATCGTTGAAATTTAAAAAATTAAAAAAAAAAAATAGTTAAATAATAATTATAAATTTTTTAAATTTTCAAGCAATATTTACACTTATTTACATTTATTATTATTCTTATTTTAAATATTAATAAATAAATTACAATAACTGCAAAAAAATATTGAGGATACAAGATAAATACTCCAAATATAAACTTTTTAAAAAATAATTTTTATTTTTAACAGATAAAATAATAACGTCCATGATACATATTTTATCTCTATTGTCAATTATTATTTTGTCACATTTCATGTATATTACTTGACAAAATTATAATCTTCAATATAATATATTTAATACAATATATAATCAACTAAATAATAAAAATTGGTATATAAAATTTTTAATTCCTACCGAAGCTCTTACTATAAATTATAATAGTAACGTGCTAATTTATAAACTGAGCAATCGATTTTTAAGTAGATTTTGCCATTAAATTTTTTTTTTAAAGTAATTCGTACTCAGCAAGCATTATGAACGTGCTTCAGTTTATGTACTTGTAAATTAGATGAATATGCAGTAGCAAAAGAACAAAATTTACATCTAAAAAAATACTGATTACCTGGCTTTCTAACATTCCGATTTAATCCATTTGATTGACTAGATTCATTATCGTAAGAGTCACATTTTAAGCACTTTTTTTTATTTATATGCTGTCTCAATAGATCTGAAAATAAAATAAAAATTAACAATTGTAATTTTTAATTATAAATTATATAAAATTATAATTTTTAATTAGACACTAAGAAAAATAAGTACTACTCTTGAGAAAATTTTCTTGTCACAAGAATATAAATTCTTGATAATTTTCTAGTCTCAAGAATTGATCGAATTATTTTTTGTTTAATTCAAGTGAACCTATTCGTTTGTTAGTCTATTAAAATTAATGCCAATAATTTATTATCATGATAAATATTGATATTTTTTTGTCAAAAAACCAAAATTTATTTTAAAAAATTCTTGAGCCAAGAAATTTTTTTCTGGACAATAATTTTTCTTTTTCTCAGTGTAAATCGAATATTTTTTAATACTCACTTGGTTTACGACAATTCACACTGAACTCTTCACAAGCATATTCAGTTTTGATGTGACTTTTAGCATGCTCATTGAATAATTTTAAATTTGTAAATTTTCTCTTACAAATAGCACAATTGTATACCGAAAGCTCCGCTTTTACTTTAATATTTTTCTTATTATCATCACTCTTATTTTTATTTATTCCCTGTAATTTTTTTGATTTTTTTTTTTCAACAAAAGATTTTACATTTTTTTTCTTAAAATAATTCAGAACTGCATTTCGATCAAGCTGAAATAAATATGTGTTAATTAATTAATTTATTTATTTTAGAATAAAATTATTATTACCTAAAAATTTCCAATACTTACTACAACGAATAATTGTTTCATTTTTGCAATTGGCCTCTCTTCCCGGATAATTTTTTCAGAATTAATTTTATTAAAGTCAATTAAATTTTTCTGATCAACTGCTGTCATCTGAGCATTTAAAGATGATCTATCTAGATGTATTTTAAAGCATTGGATTTTTTTAAAATCATTATTACTGTCAGATTGTTGATAATACGGAATGAACGCTAAAAAGCCGCCTACAGGTGTTAGATCATGTGGAGTATTTTTTAATAAATCAATCGAGTAAAAAGTATTTTCTTTTTTAATATCCTCCTCATTATTTAATAAGGATTTAATTTCAGGCAAATCTTCAAAATTTTCAAGCGAACTAGGCGGCGAAATATTTTCATTTGATTCTAAAATAGAATTAATTTCATTTTCCAAACCAGAACCTGAACTATCTAGCCACTCTTCAAACTGATAAATACTTTTATTATCCTCCATAATTTCCAAATTATCTCCAGGCATTAGCAAATTTTTTTCATCAGTATTACAATCTTGATCAAACACTTCTTCAGCTATTAGTAAATTATTTTCAATTGTATTTTCTTCATCCTTATTCCAACCAATTATCACATTCGATGATTCTTCATGTTGATAAATCCTTTCTTCATCTTCAGAGATTGTTAAATTTCCAACTGCACTTTCTTCATTCTCTGTCCAAGAATTCATATTTATAAATTTTTGATGCTTACTGTAGTTCATTGTTTCATCATTAACTTCCTTTAAAGTTTCTTCAATTGCATCCTTTTTATTTTGCATTGAAGAAATATTAAAGGTGTCTTTTATTTTAGATTCAAAGCCAGATTTTTTACAATTAAAATTATCTAATGCTCCAAATAATTCTTCTAGTCTCCGACTTCTAGCCTCATATTTAATTAATATTTCTTCTAATTGAGATACTCTAATTAAAGTTTGCTGGTTCAATGCTTGAAGATTTAATAACAAGTCATGAATATTGTTTTGATCATTACTCACTTCTAAATTTTCTTTCTTAGTTTTTAATTTTTGGATTTTATAAACGATTTTATTTTCATTTTTACAGTCATTATTAAATGATTCGACTTTTAATATTTTAACATGATTGTTAAGCTCGTGAGGAACATCATCGTTGCTGTCTATCTTCTCCAATATTACATTATCATCAATTGATTGTGAATAAGGATTATCAGTACTGCTGGAGACAAAACTTTTGTAGTTGTTGTTATTTAATTCATCTATTGGAGAATAATCATGATGATCTTGATAAGATTTATTTTCTGCTTTGATAATTGGTAATGAACATGAAGTATCTTTCATCATTGATTTATTATCTACCAAATTAGGTGTTGATACTTTAACTCCTACATCTGAAATAAATAATCTGGATTATTAAGAGCCAGTGTATTTATATGATAAAATGGGTTTTTATGGTTAAATCTAGTATCGTTGGAAAAGTCATGACCTGGAGTTGTGTCTTTTCATGGTTTCATATCATTCTCACTAATAGTTAATTTATGATGATAAAGATTTAGGCTGCATTCGAAAATGCTCTATCTCTAGATACATAATTAAGAAATTACCTTTTATCTCGTGAAATATTAACATTTTTAAAGATATAAGCTCATCCTGATATTACACTCATCAAGACCTTTCATTTGAGTACCCACATCAATTTTTCATATATTTATATATATGTATATATGAAAAATATATCAAAACGCTTGTGGGTACTCAAATGAAAGCTCTTGATAAGTGTAACATTGGAATGAGCTTGTATCTTTAAAAATGTCAATATTTAAGAAAGTACAGAGCAATTTTACATAATTAAGAAACGACCTTGTATCTCGTGAACTATTGACATTTTTAAAGATATAAGCTCATCCCGATGTTACACTCATCTAGACCTTTCATTTGAGTACCCACATCAATTTTTCATATATTTATATATATGTATATATGAAAAATATATCAAAATGTATGTGGGTACTCAAATGAAAGCTCTTGATAAGTGTAACATCAGGATGAGCTTATATTTTTAAAAATGTCAATAGCTAAGGAAATACAGTGTAATTTAAGATAATTAAGAAACGACCTTGTATCTCGTGAACTATTGACATTTTTAAAGATATAAGCTCATCCTGATGTTACACTCATCAAGACCTTTCATTTAAGTACCCACATCAATTTATCATATATTTATATATATATTATATATATGTATATATCAAAAATATATCAAAATGCAAGTGGGTACTCAAATGAAAGCTATTGAT